ACCCTAAACCCTAAACCCTAAACCCTAAACCCTAAACCCTAAACCCTAATTATATGATGAATAGGTTTGCTACTGGTGTTGTTGTTGCTGCTACTACAACTACCGCTGCTGCTACTGTTATTGTTACTGCTACTGCTACTGCTGCTGCTGGACCTCCAGTACAAAGAGGATTCTTGTTAGATGGACATCGAGGAGTTGGCAAGGTCAGCTACTGCAGCAACACCCAGCAGCAGCAGCAGCAGCAGCAGCAGCAGCAGCACTCACATCAGCAGCAGCAGCAGCAACATTAACAGCATCATTAGGAGTATCATTAGAAACACCATCAATAGCCGCACCATTAACTGCAGCAGCAGCAGCAGCAGCAGCAGCAGCAGCAGCAAATATGTTGTATATATTTATATGCATGCATGCATGCATGCTTGCAGAGTTGTACCTAGTCCCTTAGTCTTACGCCACCATCATTCACATCACCAGCAGCAGCAGCACAAGCCACAACAGCAGCACCACCATTAACAGCAGCAGCAGCAGCAGCAGCAGCAGCAGCAGCGAATACATTTTGCATGCATGCATGCATGCATGCAGAGTTATACACTGAATTATATAATACCTTAGTCTTACACCCATCATTCACATCACCAGCAGCAGCACCATTTAACAGCAGCAGCAGCAGCAGCAGCAGCAGGAACAGGAAATAAATTGTGCATGCATGCATGCAGAGTTATATATTGAATTATATAATACCTTGGGCAAGAGAGAGGAATTGGTTAGTAATATACGAACCTTTTATGTATAAATATGCACATGATCTAACTACTATAAAAAGATCTGCTGCTGGTGTATATATACAAGTACGCTATTTCCTGCTGCTGCTGCTGCTGCTGCTGCTGCTGCTGTTGCTGCTGCTGCTGCTGCTGCTGATGATAATGGTGGTGATGGTGATGTGTTTATTACCTTTTATGTATAAATATGCACATGATCTTACATCTATATAAAAAGATCTGCTGCTGGTGTATATATATAGGTTAGTTGCTGCTGCTGCTGCTGCTGCTGCTGTTGCTGCTGTTGTTGCTGCTGCCGTATACAGAGTGAATGTAGTCGTGTATTATTAGAGAGAATATTATTATATAATTCATCATCATCAGCAGCAAATACATGTATATATATTTGCTGCTGCTGCTGTTGCTGCTGCTGTTGCTGCTGTTGCTGCTGCTGCTGCTGCTGTTGCTGCTGCTGCTGCTGCTGCTGCTGCTATCCAGAGTGAATGTAGTCGTGTATTATTGGAGAGAATATTATTATATAATTCTTCTCTTCTTCAACAAATTAAAATTAATAAAAATGTCTATGGATCCTCAGCACTTGATGGAGTAAGCTTGCTGCTGCTGCTGCTGCTGCTGCTGCTGCTGCTGCTGTTTCTGCTGTTGATCGTGCTGGTGGTGGTGGTAGTAGTAGTGGTGGTAGTTATGCTGTTGGTGTTGCTGTTGTTGGTGCTGCAAGTGTTCTTGCTGCTGCTGATGGTGCAACTATTGTTCTTGCTGCTGCTGCTGCCGCTGTTGCTGCTGTTGCTGCTGTTGCTATAGGTACACCGTAAGTATGCAGCACGTGCATATGAGGGTTTATTAGAGGCGGTAGTTAATCAAGACTTACAAGAAACAATTCAAGATGTATGCGAATCAACAGGAGTTGATCCAGACCTCGAGGTTAGGGTTTAGGGTTTAGGGTTTAGGGTTTAGGGTTTCTAGGGTTTAGGGTTTAGGGAATGTTATCCACCACATCTAGATGAATATTTTGATCACCAATAACTGAGGATACTCTCAGGTGTACGATGAGGTGCTAACTAGGGTTTAGGGTTTAGGGTTTAGGGTTTAGGGTTTAGGGTTTTGTTTTTAGGGTTTGGAGGAAGCTGTTCGATGGCAACGAGAGAGATTAAAGTTATGGCGAGCATACAGCAAAGATCTATCCATCCCTTCTATCAAGTAAACCCTAAACCCTAAACCCTAAACCCTAATAAACCCTAATATAGCATATAGTGTTTATATTCCTCATTGTTCCCCTACCCTTTCCCTTTATTCATCCTATTATTTCCCCCACAAAATATAAAATATAAAATATAAAATATAAAATATAAAATATAAAATTTAGGGTTTAGGGTTTAGGGTTTAGGGTTTAGGGTTTAGGGTTTTGAGGTGTCTATACAGGTTAAAATATCCGAACCCATCTACATTATTAGATTTATGTTTAATTGGATTAGAAGAAGAATCTTTTTGTAATTTAATTCTTTATGAATTATTTGAACAATTAAAAAGACAATCTTTATTTAATTTACTTATTGTTGTTGGTAAGAATATATTTATTTATTTATTTATTTATTTATTTATTTTATTTATTTATTTTATTTATTTTATTTATTTTATTTATTTTATTTATTTATTTTTATTTTTATTCTCTTTTTCCTCTTTTTTTTGTTTGTTTCTTTTTTTCTTCTTCTTTTTCTTTTCTCTTTTTTTCTCTCTCACCCTTACCACCGCAAAACCC